TGCAGGCTTCCAAACCCGGCTGGGTTTGGCAGTTTTCCAGCCAGCTTCATTTCAACTGGGATTTTTAACGCAGTGTTTCCCCTGAATTCTGTAAAAAAAAAAATACGTACAACAAATCGGTACCAAATGTCTCAGCGCACCGTTTCCAATCGAGCTGCCCGTTTTGATATATAATTTACGAGGGTTTTCTCAAAGCTGCAGGACGAGTCGGGCGCCAAAAATCGTCCCGGAAGAATCTACAATGAGAATACACCCGAGGTATAACGATAACTGTGTTCTTTAATGATCACCCAGTGACACATTTGCATATTCGTTTATGAGGTTAAATATTTGTGTCAAAATGCTGGAGTATCATTTATGGTGTGATGTGAGCTGAGGAGGCTACACTTCAGAGATTAAAACTTTACAGTAATGATGTTAAATACTGCTTTACTCGCCTATAAAACACAGAAAGGCTTATAAAATACCAAACCTTACCGAACTGATGCAACTATTAAGGCTGACGACCCAACAGTGATGTTCATTATAGGCTAATTTAGAGCTGAAGTTTTAACTCAACAACAAAGGATTGGCCGGATCCTCTGTGAACAAGCTTCGTTTTTTTTGAAGTATCACGATGAAATGAATCGATAGCCGGAACACCGTCAACGTCAACCTCATGGAAAAACAGATTTAAGATTATACATTTGCCATTTGATGCTTAACAATCTCGATTTAAGTTTACTTTGTGTATTTTTACGATCGATTTTATGATTTCCTGGTGCGCCGTGACTCGTTTTTGATTTATGGCTACGTGTGATCTGATCGGGTAAAGGTGGAGGCGGGTTGGCGGTTTTTTGCGTCAGCAGCTGAACAACAACAAACCAAACGAGCACACCTGCTCAGTAATTAGGCTACAAACTGGGTCAGTGGGCCAGGATAGAAATCTAACAGAAACCAAAGCATCTGCAGCCTGCGGGCTAGTTACCCACATTAAACAGAAACAGTTTTTATCGACGTAAAAACACAGGTGGGGTCGAATGCAGGACATCAGACAGTAAATCTGTTGATAAGTAGCAAGTACGATAATAAGTAGGTGCTACAGACACAAAAGCGAGGAACGGCTTCACCTGTTTATTAAAAACGTCACCGCAAAACAGTAAATCTTCCTTCTGGAGCAACACCGTTTATTGTGAATCCCAAATTTTAATGTCATTTCCAAGCAAATTTGAAGCTAATTTTTAAAATTGTACAAAAAAATGTTAAAAAACAACAACATAAAAACAGTAGATTAGTCTTGTTTCTTCTTGTTTCTTGTGTAGCCTACATGGCTGGAACAAACACCAAGATAAACATGAAATCAGTTCGTTGCCAACGACTTAAAAAAACAACCTCAAAGAAGAAACGAAACGTCTAAGAGAGAAAAATGGAGAAAAGTTTGTAATCAGGAGTTCTAAAACGAGTCTTTGGTGTCCGCTGGTGTCGGCCATGTTTGTCCGCAGACGATAAAAGAAACGGCCGTTCAGTCGTGACAGTTAATTAGAAAAGACGTTTCAGGTTTAGGTGCGTTAACTCTTTCTCGAAAAAGTCGGAACTTCTGTCGTCGACGGTCGATCATTCTGCAAATTTACAACCAACCTTTGAAATTTTGCAAAAAAAACAAACAAACCCAAAAACAGGCAAATAAAAGGAAAAGTGCGTTCGGTTTCTTTCTTTTAACTGTTCGGCTCATTTGGTTTGAACGCAGTAGCTGATCAGCAACATAGCAAACAAACACGCCCAAACCTTCGGCGACTCGATGGTGAGGCAACGACGCTAAAAACTGGGTCAGCAACCAGAATAGAAATCTGGCACAAACCAAAGCATCTGCAGCCCGAGGGCGAGTTAACCACGCTGTACAAAAACATTTGTCATGGCCGTAAAAGTGCAGGTGATTGTTAAACCACGACTGCCAGACAGTAAACCT